TGTTACATGTCCATAAATTGTATATAAAAACCATATTAGGTAAAAATTAGTAATGAAAAATACTAATTTATTTATTAAATATAGATAATAAATTCCAAATTCTAAATGAATAATATTTAAAATATTGGTTTAGGTTTTTCAATAGTTAATAAATTAATTTTATCGAGTCACGTCGCTCATCAGCCAGTTTTCGTTGCATGGACTATAACAACTAAATCTTATACATATATAACATGATAGTTATTTTTAAAAACACATTATTAAGCAATTTTTATTTGTAAAAAAATACCTAACAACCAATTAGGTTTGGTTCATTAAACTATACAAATCAGGAATTATAATATAAATTATAAACATAATAAAAAATTATGAAAACAAAATAAACTGAATTCTTAACTATATTTAACCAAAACTAGATTCTTAATTGATGTCGAAAATAAGTGTAGCCAGTTCATCATTTTATCCTTGTCCATTTTCAAGAAGGCATCTGAAAATACAACTATTTTTAAATATTTCATAATGGATAAGTAATTAACACTTAAAACCACRGTAGATTATAATCTACTGTGCTTAAAACATAATTTTAAAAGTTGTTGCATTAACATTTTTAATTTTTACAAGCTAAGTATCTACTATTTAAATAATATTATATTTACATACATTTAATAATAAATTGATAAAGGACAAATCGTAAAGAAATAATTTATTTTCTTTATTTTAATTTTATATGCAGTTGTTTACTTTTGAAATGCAGATTCAAAATAAAATAATGCATTGGTTTTACAAAGAACATATTTATTATTATTATAAATGTGTAGAAGAGCTGAAAAAAAATTCTTAGAGCATTTTTAAAATAATTCATGAAGTGTGGCTTATATTTATTTCTATTCAGTATTAATAATATATTATATTTTTTTAACATAATAAATTTATCAAAGATCAATATTATATTATATTTATTTGAATTTAAATATCAACTTTATCATGTGGTCAGTCATGTGTAAATGGATAAATGTCCCAAACCTGGTCTAAATAATAAATATCTATCTCAGCGTTTATATACATTCCATATTTGTAAAATATTTTTCTTTTTCGTGGCATACTGAATTTGTAACATAAAAAAAATTGTGAATTAATTAGAAACAATTTATTTATAAAATATAATTAATATCATTTTTTTTAGTTATTTTTATATCAGTTATAGCCAATCATATTAAACATTATAAAATATTTATTTATAGTTTATACATCAATCTAATACTTAAAAATATTAATTTTAAATTAATACAACTTTGTTATCATTATATACGATAACATTTAAGTATTTCAGTATTAGTTACTACTGAACTTACAACATTATATATTTATATTATAAGTTTATCACTCACAGTAGATGTAATAAAAATAGAAATTTAATAGGAATTATAGACCTTTACTGAATTTGAAGCAGTGGTATAACTATGGGGTAGCGGTGTTGACCACAAACATTTTTATGGAGTTTTTATTATGTTATTTGTGAATTTTCGTCTTATAAAACTGTAAGTATAATGATTATATTAAAATAATTTAGGAGGAAGTTATGCATATAAGTGGTACATACACATTATGCTCATTAGAGAAGGTGAAGCATATAAAAGTGTTCGCTAACCCAAACATTTGCTGCTAGTTACGCCACTGATTTGAAGCACATTCACTGTTCATACTCAATACTTCTGAGAACCAACATGACTATATCTGTATCAATATTTAACTTGGGTCCTTGAATAAAACTGCATTGAACTGTAKCATGAACCTATTAAAAATATAAAGATAGGAAAATTTTGGCTATTTGAATAATTTATCAAAATAAAACAATATTTACTAAAAATATTGCATCAAGTAAAATGCTTAGTAATAAACTAAACTCTTTACTCCTGAATAAACTCTTTCTGTCGTTGCACGCCAATGTTCTTCATTTTTCTGTAAGACATTAAAGTTCTAAATAAAAATCATAAATATTTAATTTTAAATGTAATGGATATTTTATTATTGGTCAGATTTATTTAAAATTTAAATAATACATATTTTATTGCTTAACAAATTTGGAGTTCATTTAAAAMTCAAAGGTATTTAAGTTTAGTAAATACATAGTAATTTCGTGTATCAAGGCATTTTCTAATTTAACTGCGTTGAAGACGGCACATTTACGAATACGTTTGTATGTAATGGAATCATAAACACAACTAAATACAAATAGGATACTTCACAGAACATAAACTCTAAAAATGTTTTTAATGAACAGATAAGATAAACTTAAAACTATCATAAAGATATATAAATATTTACTAAGGCATTCCACGATTATTCTATATTTACGATAAAAATTATCAAAACAATATGAAATAGCCATAAAAGTGTCTGCTATTTAGGGGTGTTTCAGAAAAAATGTTCCCTATTTATAGGTGGCCAGGATAGGTTTCACTGTAGGTTTATCTGTAAAACAGATAACACCAATTTCTAGTTTATAATCTATATTGTGAATAATGTTTTATTTTCTAGGACACATAACTTATTTGAATAAAACAATAGAAAGAAAAGTTGTGCAAATTACCAAAATTTAAAACTTTTGTACTTATTGCTTTATTATAAGCAGAAAAGATATAATTTAAGTTTGAATTTAGATTTGTTTTGGAGGTATTTGATTTATTTCTAACCAATTAAATATTTATATTATCCAATATTAGGATAAAAAATTATCATTAAACTTTACAATGACTAATTGATTGATTTGAAAATCAAGATTTTGAATTACAATTTTAATAATAAATAACAACTAACAGAATTAAACTAATTAGACAAATTAAAATTTGCAGTAATGTAACTACAAATTATTAATAACAACATATGACAATTTGTTCTTTAGTGTAAAGTATAAAAAGGACATGCAGTCCTTAATCTGTTTATGTACCATAACAAATAATACAGATACATTTAAAAAAATTTAAATCATAATGAAATCATTGACATTTATTATTTAATTATGTTTATAATTGATCATATTTAAAATAAGATTTAATTAAATTAATCTTTAAATTGGTCAATGATGTATTGCAACAATTTAAATATAATATAAGCAATTAATAAAAGTGAAATATTAGTTGATTAGAATTATTTTTATGTATTTAATGTTAAATAGGAAACTAATAATAACCTCAATAACGGATATAAAATTTAAAAATATAAAAACTGCATTTGTAAAATGATAGCATGTAAGAAAATTGAATGCTGACATAGTTTCTATGCTTTATTACTTATATTTTTTAAGAGGATGTTGTACCTACATTTGTTGTCTCCGTTTAAAATATGTACGACATACCACATTTTTATTCACCAGTTTCAATTAAGTGCTGTTTGTTTTGAAATTTGAGTGAATTGACCTACTATGAAATTTAATTTARGATTATTATATAAGTAGAATTATATTGATATAATGTATATGTCAGTTATGACCTTTTTAAAACTATATATCAACCACCTAAAACAAGAACAACAAATACAGGTACGACATCCTCCTAAGTTAAAAATAAAAACTTTGATATTGAAAACGTTTTAGAAATATGGCTTTTGTTGATTGGTGTAAAACATTGTTTCTTCAAATATATTATATTTAAAAAAATAACCAAATAGTTTTTTCCAATAAACTTAGTAGGTGGGCTTATATTAATAATAGTATATTGCCACCAATCGTTCGAAAAACAGTCATCTAACATTGGTCACCCAACTTCACTCTAGTCGATACCCACTCACATGGCTACATAATATATAGGTAGTAATATTAATGTAAATGCTAGTTGGTCAACTCAAGGTATAGGTGAGCTAGGCATCGGCTAGAGTGGCATTTATGTAAGAAGAAAGCATTAAAAATAATGATAACATTATTATTTTAAGGGCAGCAAATTTGATCTTGCCTAGAGCACTAATTTTGCTTGAACTGTCAATTTACATATGGATTACTAAGATTTTGAAYGATRTATTTATCATGAAATGTATAATACTATGATTGATAGGCCCATAATTGGACCATTAAATTTCAGTAAACTATTTAGTCAATTATTTTTTTTTCTTATGCAACTCGGCAGTACCCACCACAATTATTCACTACTCAGTGGACATCCAGTGGTCGGTTATTTGATTCGCCAGGTCGTCGTCGTAGAGTATGAATAAGAAAAACTCGTAAACCGTTAATCATAGTCCGTATAATTAGGCGTGTTTAAAATTTAATTTAATCGCACGAGACGTAAACGTCGTAAACTATTAAACTAATTATTGTTTTGCTTTCGACGGTTTSGTGAAACAGTGCGCAGATAACCATTGTAGTCGCGATAACGTCGCGGGCCGTACTCACTGGTAGCGCTTCCATCGTCCACGACCGAATGTCTACGTCGAAATTTTCGAGTGCGTGTGAAAATATCAAATCGCTTGAGTCGCGCAACTCGTTTTTAATCCGTGTTGGCTCCTCAGACAAATTAACGTTGTCAAATTCCTCACCAYGACCGCGGCCCGATAACGTGTAATTATTACATGTTATTATTATTATTTTTATTATTATTATTATTATTATCCCTCTCTCCCACCATTTACCGTTCGTTGTCGTCGAGCGGCTCCGACTTCGTGCCAGTGTTGTCGTTGTGTGTGTTCTTTTATAATAACAATAATAACATTGATACATTATGTAGGATAATATTATAGGTAGTGTTCGATTTTATTCTTTTATTATTCTCGGTCGGGCCAAAACGTCACGCACAGCAGTCGTCTTTATTATTATTATTACTATTACTATTACTATTATTATTATTATT